AGATTTTTTCCCTCGTTGACTCTAAAAAAAATAAAATTCAAAACTTCTTTTCTGCAGCACATATCAAAAGTCTATTCACGACATCATCGAAACAATCATCAACAAAGAAAATCCATACACCCAAAATTAATGAAATGATGAAAACTCAAATATCTAACACATAAATTTAGGGATCAAGATAAGATAAGTCCATGCCTTCAAAATTTTTCAGTGTTAAAACCCAAAAAGTCCCCTCACAGTCTGTACGGGGACTCTGCACCAAGATTGCTACAATAAGCCATATTTTCACGATTTCTGTCAAGATTGCTAATGCATGAGATAGACAAGAGATATAAATGAATTAACAAGCTAATAAGCATTTTAATTTACATTAAACTAAGAATATACCTCTATTCACACAAAATTCCAAAATTGTAAATCAAATAAACAAACTTATAATTATCAGATAAAATCGAGGATCTACCTCTCTATTCACTCGAAATAAAAAATTTTGCACGTAGAATCTTGAATAAACAAAATCATAATTTGAGAAAAACGGCATGCCAGAATTTACCTCTCTATTCAAGAGAATTTTGCGCAAAAAGATTAATCACAAAAAAAAGAGAGAAGAATTGAAGAAAAAGTGAAAGAAGAGAATGATGATAATGAAGAAGAAAGCTTGTGTCTGGATTTGCATGGGAAAATGGCTTCACCGTCCTTTTGAGTAAGAAAAAATAGATATGATTGATATCTACAGTGAAATCACTGTTTAGTTACAGTAGAAGTCCAGAAAATTATTACAACTACAGTAAATTTTATTCATTTTTCTATAAGTAATTAGACACATATATACACCCTACATATTTGCAACTTGCTAGGTGGGTTATCGGACTCATGACCCAACTCTCAAATCCAGTTAAACCCGTCCCAGCATCTACGATTCAAATCCGCCCATCCCCTCACCGTCTATAATTCTTTTTCAAGTTCTCCCTCGCTACCCAACGCCACAATTCCACCTGTTAAAACTATCGTTATCCTTCTCTTCGTCTTCTATTTTAAGTTTAATTTGTGCCTTTTTCGTTTGTTTTTTCCAATTATTCTATTTTTGAAGGTGAATTTTAAAAATGGAGGGAGGACAGTATAATCCTCGTACCGTTGAAGAAGTTTTTGGAGATTTCAAGGGTCGTCGTAATGGCCTTATTAAAGCCCTAACCACAGGTTTTTACTTTTTCTTTTTAACGTTTCAGTTTTTTTTTTTTTTTTTTTCTGTCGTTGCCTTTTTTTTTTTTTTTTTTTTTTTTTGAGGAATTTTTTTGTCTTTTTTTTCCCTTTTTTTTTTTTTTTTCTGTTGCAGATGTTGAAGACTTTTATCAGCAGTGCGATCCTGGTTAGGGTTTTTCTAAGTTATTCTTTTTCTGTTTTACTGTTCGAATTCTTTAATTGTATGTTTCTGTATATTTTATGACGCACTATTTCAGTGCTTATTATATGTTTTCTTGCAAGTTATCTCTATAAAATGGTAAATTTTATTGAATGTAGCTTAAGTTTTTTAATTGTATTCCATTTTTTCCAGCAAAATGACTATTGGGTGTGCATTAAAGTTATAGATTTTATGATCTTCATAGTTTTTGTCTTGATCTCATTTCTCATTTCTTTGATGAAATGGAAATAATAATTTATTATTTTTAAAATTTTTATTTTAGGCTTGTGGAATATAATATGTGTTGGATGTGATGTAACATATTAGTTAGGTAATCTAAGGGCTATTGCACTTGGCACTCCATTTATACATGCGGCGAACCTGTGTTGGTTTTGGACGCTTTATTCGAACTGTCGAAATTGCTCACGTTGACTGCAATTATAGTTTTTTTTCAGTTTCATCTTTGTTCTACAACTTCTAATAATTTTTTGGAAGTTTTTGGTTCTAATAAATGTGAGTTATGGTTGGTGCTAAATATGCATCCTGGCAATATGGTTCCTTAAATATGCGTCAAGAAGTGATTTTATGGGAAGCTTAGTTTACTGAAATAGGAAGCTACTATTATGATCTTTACTAATTAATTGCAAGATGGTGATGAATTGCGATTGGTCTAAACCTTTGTCTGGCAATTGATTGTGTATGGTTTCTATCTTTGATTTGAATTTTCTGTGGCTTTGATGAGTTCTGAGTAAAACTGTTGCGTGCAATGCATTCCGCTTTGGATTTGCATTTATGTGTACACTCATGGTTTAGGATTGTTATAACGTCCATGAGAAAAGGAGATTTGCCAGATTAGGTACTCATCCCATGTATTATCATACCCAGAACCCTATTCACAGAGTCTTGCTTTAAAATGGTACAGACTTGTGGCTATTAATTGTCATAGTACAAATCGACCTCTGTCGAGTTAGATGAAATTGCTGGCATGTCTGCACTGATAATTATTGACGACTTTTGTTATATCATTTGTCTATAACATCTAATATGCCCTTTTTTTTATTTAATTTTTTAATGATTTTAAATATGCCAACTGGTTTAAATTATGTGTTCATCTTCGTCTAAAAATTCCTGTCACTGAGACATTCTTTTTGTTTATTGATTATAGCATAACATGATCAAAGCTTTCAATCTTGTCTTTTGGGAATAGTGACAATATAAATAAGATGCTGGCAACAATGATTGGAGTTTTTGTCTGGGGATGATTAACGCTGCTTAATTTTAATCCCCTTCTGCCACGCGGCAAACACGTGCATGACAGCATGCACGTCATGTTAAAATTCATTCATCCATTTGTTGACAGCTTTAGACAGCCTGATTGTGTGCTATAATTGGTGTGCACAACTCATGGATGTACATTTAATACATGTCAGAAATGGATCCTACATTAATCCCTTCATCTCAAACCAATACATTCCTTTTTGGGTTCATGTGCATTCATCTTCAATCTTGTTCATTCATATTCTATGGGGTCTGAATCTCTGAGATATGCATTTCTCTACATGAAGCATTGGTTTTTAGGGTTTTCAGATAAATTCTGGCAAACTTTTTTATCAAATGGATATATTTCCATTTTTAAGCGTATATAGTATTCTTTCCTTTTATCTCCCATGCCACTGGAAAATACAATATATTCTTTTGGTGAAAAATCATTAAAATGAGTCGGAAGGTTAAAATTAGACTATCATGTCCCAAGCAAAATAAGTTCCTAATTGAAAAATTATGTTAATGTTTTATAATAAGTTTGAATTTCCATTCTCAGTTTAATCATTTGCCATTATCTGTTGTATCTTTCACATAATTAGATTCCTATAAGATATTTTTCCATTGTTTGTGTTCAACGAATATCTGTTAACATGTTGCAAGTTCTATGGTATTCTCATTTGCCAACGAATACATGCATGGTGATTTTACTGGGGAATTCATTTGTTCCTCTCACTGTCTCACAAGTGCTGGTGAATTATGTTTTAGTCCTTTCCACTTTGGAACTATCTTATGTTTTGCAAAGACAGTCATTTTTTCTTTCTTTCCCCCATGCTAGTTATTATTTTTATATACAGCTAGTATGGATCTATGCTTGTTGTGCTTTACAGAGAAGGAGAATTTGTGCTTGTATGGACTTCCTAATGAGCAGTGGGAGGTCAATTTACCTGCTGAAGAAGTACCTCCAGAACTCCCCGAGCCTGCACTAGGGATCAATTTTGCTAGAGATGGGATGCAAGAGAAGGATTGGTTATCTCTGGTTGCTGTCCACAGTGATGCCTGGTTGCTTTCTGTTGCCTTCTATTTTGGATCCAGATTTGGTTTTGATAAAGCTGACAGGTAGATATCGAATGCCGTCTTTGTTTCGAACATGTTTGGCTAAGCTTAATAAGTTCACTTATATGTAATTAAGATTTAAAATAAACAATTTTGTTATTTGTAAGAATTGTAAATAATTGAGTTACTGGTTTTGAGAGCAAGGTAAAGCTATTTGTTTTATACTTGGCCAAACATACTCATAATCGGAACTTCTTAACGCACTGCTAGATTCTCTTTGTTCATTACGTGTTGGCTCTTGAAGTTCAAAATGTTTCCATTTGTTATACCAAAGATAATAGTGTGGATAGAAATCGTTTCTAGTGTTGAAAGAAGAAGTGTTGGGGGATGAATAATTTCTTTCTGCGCGTTATAGACTTGCTGTGAAAAAGCAACACAATCGTCAAAGCATTCACGTTGCAAATGATTTAATCCCTTCTACATTCTGTTTAAGCATCTTCCTTGTTATGATTTAATTCTTATCGAAGTTCATTTTTTCTCCTTAAATCAAATTTGAAATTTTGTTTACCAGGAAACGGCTTTTCAACATGATCAATGAACTTCCTACAGTATTTGAAGTTGTGACTGGTGCTGCTAAGAAACAACAGAAAGAGAAGTCTTCAGTCTCAAACCACAGTAGCAACAAATCAAAGTCAAACTCCAAGCCTGTAAGTGTATTTCGCGTGCAATACGTCAATCGCCAGGATAGGTGATTTTCACCTTTCATATATCAGTCTCTTGTATGTCTAATACTATGATATAAATGGGTTTTAATTGCATAAGGGACATGATGACTTGATGTCATCCTCACCTTTTGCCAATAGGCGTCTATTATTGAATTCACCCGACCTAGAAAGTGACGAACATAAATTCATACTTTCAATGTCATCTGCATTAACAAAGTTTTATAAGAGTAATTTTTACATTTTTAAAAGCTTCCTCAAACATGCTCTATTCTCCCCTATCTGTTACTCCCATGTTAATGATAACATCACTCGGCATTATTTTACGACGAGCAGCAGGGATTGGAATCTCAGGAAAAATATCCAAAGTCACAGCCGAAGGACGAAGATGAAGGGTTTGATGAGGAAGAAGTTGAAGAACATGGCGAAACACTATGTGGCGCCTGTGGAGAAAATTATGCATCAGATGAATTTTGGATCTGCTGTGACATATGTGAGAAGTGGTTCCATGGCAAGTGCGTGAAGATTACCCCTGCTAGGGCTGAACATATCAAGCATTACAAGTGCCCATCTTGCACCAACAAGAGAGCTCGACCCTGATTTAGAATATGAATCTAAGCTCGGGTACTCCTCAAACTCTGCTAACTGCTGTCGTTGATCAGGCCGCGCTTGTTTTGAAGTGTTTATTTACCTTTAGCATTAACTGTGAATTCATGTTCCTCATCGGGGAATGTTAATGTTACTTCAGTATAGTATTATTTCATTCTAGTTGGCGCAAGTAAAGCCCCGTTTCACTTGGAACTATTATGTTTTCTTTCATTTAGTAGGAATTTCAGCTGTTTCGGATTATCAAAACTAGTAGTTCGTTTTCGTTTGGAATGTTGTTTATGAGGCTCGCAAGGTTCTTATGATGAATAAATAGGGAGCATTCAATAGTAGCTATTAAGGATATGGCAGAAAGAAATAATAGAAAAAGTATATTGATTAATATTTTAAGTGTGTTGCTTTTTGTAGGGGGGGCATGCCCAATAAATAATCGTGGCTCTCTCGCCCCGTTGTACAAGAAGCAAAACCCATATTTTAACTTATTTGTCTCCTGTTTGAAGATCTCAACTAAGTCTTGAGAACAATTCAGATGCAGGTAAAGTTATCTCCTCAATTCGATCTTACCAACGGAGGAATTTTAAATTGCTCCAGGATCTAAGAATACAATAATTTGTCCATATGATACAAATTGTTGACCCAATTCAGATGGAAAGGGTTGATCATTGAGACAAACGGGATAAACTAATTAATCCCCATTAATATATAAATCTTAAAAGACACTCCAGCCTCAAATCCATTACGCAAGTTGGATGATAAGTATTAACACCCCCCACCAATCGTCAAATAAAGCAAGCCAGACATTATAATTCCAAGTAGGTACGTAATACCACTCAATTGTTTTTTACTCGAAACATGTTCATGTTTTTGGATGAATAATATAGTGGTTTACATACAAATAAGATGTAGAATAGAGATTTTTTTTTTTTTTTTTTTTAATCTTTTTTGAAGAAGAAATTCGTATCTCACCATACATGCAAACAATTATGTACATATTACACAACAATTTTTTGAATACCATATTTAGACAAACAAACAAAGCGATCTTTCTCGACTCGCTAAATCCTTTTTCACCAACACATTCGCTACTTTACTGAACATACTCAACAGATGGCTTCAGTGTTAACAAGTAGAAAAATTAATAGGGCCGGAGAGAAGTTCACGTATCATATATGGAACACAATTTGAAATCACTTCTGCATTAACGACCGCGCTTGAGATAACTATCTAACTTGGACAATCAAGAAAAGCATTTATTACATGTTGAGAGAGATAGGGCCGGAGAGAAGTTCACGTATCATATATGGAACACAATTTGAAATCACTTCTGCATTAACGACCGCGCTTGAGATAACTATCTAACTTGGACAATCAAGAAAAGCATTTATTACATGTTGAGAGAGAAACTTCATACAACTCTGAACAAGATTGAAGGAAAAACAAGAAATAAAAACTTGTTTCCTCCACTGCCTATGATTTTACCAGCGCATTCTGGCATGAACAGAATTGGACAGTACATTCGACATGTTTTCCACTTATTTTTCTTTATAAATATTGTTGAGTACTATCCAATCTACTTGCGAGATATGCCATACAAGAGGATTCAAGATGACAAAACCTCTCGATTCTTCGCAGAAAGCCTTTTCAAGAACTCATATGTAGTGATCATCGTAGTTGCAGACATGGACATTGAAGCCCACCTTGGTCCTAAACCTCTATAACAAGCCATCCACCCACCTTCCTTCACCAAATTCCTCATAGTTTGCCCAAAACTCGCCCCCTTCCGCCCATTCTCATCCCCATCCAAAACCTGTAATCTTGTCTTGATAGTATCCAGAGGCATTGTTATCAAAGCCGAAACCCCACCAGCCATAGCTGCACTTGCTCCCTGCACTGCCATCACAGTTTTTGCATTAGGCCTCAATGCATTTTTCTCCACATTGACCCCGTTTTCTTCCCTTACGTCATCTTTCTGGCAAAGAAAACACCCCATACCACTCCAAACAAGCCTCTGAGTTACAGAATAGGATGCCCACCACACTGCATTTGATGGCGCATAAGTCAAAATTGATACCCCAAATCCTCTATATAGCCCTCTTATCCCTTCTGTATTTAGAATTTTCTTGAATGCATCAATCCCGTTTAAATATTTAGATGAAAATGCATTCGAAATCTTCTGATTATCACCACCTTGTACCATAAGCCGCTGGCTAATTACATCAACCGGAGTCCAAACCATTTGGGCTGCCATTGCAGCGCTCAAACCAGCGGCAGCATTTGCAATTGCAGCCGCAGAAGGCTCTGGAATTCCGCACCTAGTGGCCGCCGTCCCCACATTACTCTTGGTAACCTCGAGTGCAGCCATATATAATGCTCTGGCTGGGATTGTGCCTGTCAATGAAGTCCCAAATCCTCTATACAATCCGCGAAAACCTTCATGTTTCAAGATCCAGACTGCTGTTTTAATGCAAGAAACTTGGGACTGTGCCACCTGTTGCCGGGTTTTTAGCACCACCGCCGGGTATAAAGAGGCGGATACACCTGAAAATAAGGCGGCACCGAGAACGAAAAACTTGGATTTATCAAGCATTTGCCAGTCTATATCCTCCGGAACGTCAATTTCTTCAGCCGTTGATTCTTCCTCTGATGTACCCAAATTCATCTTCGCCACTTTCAACAATTTTAACAGGTTTAAATCCTTCGATTTCCGGTTACAGCAAACTCTACTTCATCTAAACATATATACATAGGTTTCCTATCTATCTGTACAGTAAAATTGGGATCAAAACGTAAAACCCTAACTTGACAACACCTTGTACAATAACAATGGATTTCCTGTACGATTTTACTTCCAATAGTTATAAGTACAAAATTGAAATCGGAATTTACACGCATAGGTAAACGGATCGATGGATGTCTTTTTGCGTTTGTGGAACCATGTTTTGGATCGAAGGTGAATTTTAATAAAAGGGTCTAACATTTATTAATTGTTCTTACCGGAGAAGACAATCATTTTCACGTCAGATGCTCACCAGCGAGTTCGAATGTTGCCGGAATAATCTTATATAGGAGAATTCTTCCTGGGGCGTAAGCTTATGGCATACATATAGTTATAGAGAGAGAAAGATGAGTGAGAATCGGTACGGGCAGTTATGGTGGTGTAGGAGAGAGACTAATTTTTCCGTGAGAGAGAGAGAGAGAGAGAGTGTGTGTGTGTGTGTGATTTTTAGGTAAATGGATAATTGTGAACCGGAGACAAATAAATAATTGCTTAAACTCAATAATTGATTTTAAATGTATATTAAATTGGATAAAATGTATATTAATTAATATTGATTACATTATTAAATTTAATCTTAGGGCTCGAAATGAAATCAACCACACATTTTTATTGCCCCATGAAATTCATTACATTTCATTTTTCTCTCTTCTATTTTCAACATTTAAAATAATATTACACATAAATCGAAAATTTTCCCTTCTTTTTCAATCATTCATTTATCAAAAAAACACTATTCCACCCATTTTTATTTTAAAAAAATAGGGGCCAAAAATATCATTAGTGAAATATAATTTTTTTTTTTTTATCACCTACACCATATTTTAATCAATTTCTCACTTATTTCTCAAACTTCTTTGTCTCTAATCATGAAAATCATTAAGAATGTTAAAGAAAAGCTTATTTACCTTCCGTATTTCTTAATAAGGACAAAAGTACAATAACATTTGAAAACGCAAAGACCTTTACTGCAAATAAAATTTGATGTAGATAATAAAAAATGTGATGTGTTTCATAATGTGAACATTTAATTTTTTTTTCAACAAAGAGAATACTTCCGAGCCAACACGTGTCAGCTGTCAATTTTTTCTATGGCTGCTGAACTCGACAGCCTACGACGTGAAACCTTATCCAATGAGGACCTATCTGCTACACGCAGCACATACACCATCAAAAATTTGACCAATCTCTCACATTTTAATTTGCTAACCACAGATTATTCTGAGAAATTTCAATTCTAACCATATCTGTTGACACATAAAAATTCAGTCCAAATCGAACGGTCCAAGGAGTGAAATCCAATTGGAGGATCCCCAAATCAGATAGCCCAAAGAACGAAACCCAATCAAACAAATCAAGATAAAGGTCCAAATAGGGAGGCCCAAGAACGCGGTAACGCCATCGCCCAAATTTGCAAGTCGCCCAGAATCTGAGCGAATGGAGTGCCATACAGTCGCCCAGAGCTGTTACTCTATTCTCGCCCAAACCTTCAAGCCGCCCAAGGTCTTAACAAACATAAAGCGTTGTGCTTATCAAGAAGTACAGTTATCAAAGCAGTTATTAAAGCAGCCCTATCACGTTCCACGATTCAAGGAATTCAATCGAAAGCGGTTGAACGACGAAGAGTAATGGCAGCAGTTAAAAAAAGACAGTTTTCATGACAAGTTGGCCATTACGAGGAAAGTGGGCAGTTATAGTACGATCAAGCAGTTTTTAGGCGGTTGATCACAAAGAGATCGTCCATGAAGTATAAAAGGGAGAAAAAACATAGAGCAAAAGGGATCGAATCAAAAACTCTCGAACAGAGAACATGTAATTTTAATTTCCTTAGTTTAGACTTAAACACTTTTTTCAGTAACTCGTGTGCTTGCGCCCTTTGGAGGCACATTGTTTTTAATTTCCAATTGTAAAGTCATCGCCAATAAAAGAACACCCATTTTTAGGACTTTGTCTCAAGAGATTTGTCCCTTACACAATCGTCTGATCCTTTTTAATTGTTAGAGACTAACCCGTGCAAAAATATTTGGCACGTCCAGTGGGACAGTGGTGTTTGGTGTTGAAAGTACAAAAGGTGAAACAATATGCCTCAGAGATCCGACAAGGAGGGAGCAAGTCAGGGAGGAATCCAGTCGGTGATCGAGCGATATGAGGAGCAGCATGCCTCTCCACGAACAGATGGACAGAATCAGAGTAGTAACAGTCGTTACGAACCAATGACAGAGTTGAGTCCTCGAACCATGCGTGCATTACTTGGAGAACTCACACAAGACGTTGTTGAACAGGTAAATCTTCGAAGTATTCATAATATGGAAAGATTTACCCAAAATGGGAATACACACTATGACAATATGGCCAAACAACTAAGTATTTTGAACGAAACAATGAATAAGTTAGTAGGCCAAATATATCAACCGGTTATACCTCTTGCAAATCACTTTCAAACTAGGACAATGGTGGGACATAATCCCTCAGTCCTAAATCCGAATCAAGGGGTAGAACCACTTTCTGGTCCCTCTACTTCAAACCAAGGGGGTACTGCAGTGCCAAATCAGAACAATGGTAGTGGTACGCCTAACTTGGGGGGTAATCAAAGCATAAGAGATAATGTCCTAAACAATGGACAGCACACACCACGTGTTAATGAGGGAATAGATGTTCAGGCTAATGGTAATGGCCCTAATTATGGTAATTTTGTTGCCAATCAAGGACCAAACATCAGGTCTCATGCAAATCAATCGGTTAATCAGCCTGTAGGAATTCCATATGATCCCAACGTCATGTTGAGGAATCAGATTATGGAAATCGTACAGGATCAGATGGCTTTTGGGATGCGTCCCGTCATTAGGCCGACGTACACAAAGTCATATCCTGATTGGGTAGACCAAGCATATCCATGACCTAGAGGGTACAAAGTGCTAGAATTCTCACTGTTTACCGGTTTAGGAGAGGTGTCTACTCTAGAACACATAGGGCGATTCACATTGCAAAGTGGTGATGTAACCGATTACCATAAAATGCGGTTTTTCCCTAGTTCGTTAACAGGAGTAGCTTTCTCCTGGTTCATCAACTTGCCAGCGAACTCTGTTCAAACATGGCAACAATTGGAACAGTTATTTTACACTCAGTTTTATAAAATTGAGTCTGAAGTCACTTTGGTTGATTTGGCGAATCTACGTCAAATGCCAAACGAATGGGCAGAAAGTTTTCTCCAAAAGTTCAAGACAGCGAGAAGCAAGTGTTTTGTACCTTTGCCTGAAAAAGAATTTTTCAAAATCGCTCAGAGCTGTTTAAGCTTTGATTTAAAAAAGAAATTCCAGGACAAGGAATTTCCTGACCTTTTCCAGTTGAGTGCGAATGTGATTAGGTATGAACGACTGATAAGAGAGGAAAAACAAATGAAAAATTCTAGTAAAGGGACTTATTACAAAGACCCAAATTTTGATGTTCATATCATCAGTGACGAGTTATACGACCAGGCTAAGCCTAGACCATGGGGCAAAGATGAGCCCATAAAAGATGTAAACATAAAGGCTAGAACGTTCTCGTTCGATGTAACTAAAGCTGACCTTATATTTGATAAATTATATAGGGATAAGCAGATAAAGTTGAGCGATAAGCACAAATTGCCAAACCCTGAACAAATTAAGGGTAAAAAATATTGTAAGTGGCATAATGCATGGTCACATTTGACTAACAATTGCTTGGTTTTTCGCCATGTATTGCAGGATGCCATTGAATCAGGACGAATTACGTTCAATGATAAGAAGAAGATGGCAGTGGACGAAAATCCTTTTCCACAGCCACTTGGAGCGAACATGGTGACATCTGGATTCAAAAACAAGTTGTCAAAATTCAAGTTGGTCGTAGATGATGGAGAAGAGGACCCTAGACTCCCAGTGTCTTTGAACGAATCAAGGGGAAAGAACCAAAAAAGGACGAAGACATCTTGTGCGCAAGATGTAAAAGAGAAATGAATAGCAATACAGAGAAACCAGGGATATGGCAGCATCCTTATCGCCCTACCTTCTTCCCAAACACTCAGCCTGGTAGAGGGCGAGGTACATCATTCTATAGAGGACCGCCTTTTGAGAGGCAGTTAAGGTCAGCAGATAATGGAAGAACATTCAGGCCGCAATCTCGCCGGCTAAATATATGGCATTCATTCCAGTACAATGCAGGAAGGGCAATACACTTCGATGAGATGACTAGGACCCAACAAAGGCGTTTCCAACGAAACTACGGACGGATGATGAGGCAGCAACAGGGAGTGCCACATCCTAAAGCGCCTAAACTACTCAAGGTAGCCAATCAAAATGTCCTCAAAAATAGTGAAGAGACCGGTACAGATGAATCAATGAAGGAATTGCCAGAAACTTCTTCTGGGAGATCAAAGTTCGAGCGAGACAGAAAGGATGGAGAAGATCAAGATCAGCCCCTTACCATCCAGTTTGGTACGTTACCTCATGTCGTGGCCAATAATTACTTACTGGCCAATGAATTCAAGAATAAAGAAAAAGAAGAAGAGTGGGAGGACAACGAAGGAGAAGCTTGCGTGCTGGTATGTGAAGAAGGCCAGATTTCTAGAGAGGCCTACAACGATGAAGAAGACGATGGGATGACAGACATTGAGGAAAAAATCGACCTAGAAGCAGAAGGGAGAAAGAGAGGAGTATCGCGCAATACTCTGTTGAAGCAACTACATCGAGAGGGAGTTCGCGAAGTAGATTTGTTGGGAGAACCATCTGGGCGTCCTTTCGATTTCTACGTACTGTACGGGACACCCAAAAGGAAGAAGAGAGTGCCTCGCTCTGAAAAGTATGGGTCACCTCCAAGAATAATGCCCCCTTCCACAGGTTGGATAACTAATGAGGAAGCATTAGAAAAAAGTAAGAAGGAAGTTCAGAAGACAGAGGATCAGCGCGATATACTGCACGTCGACTTATCACAGGGGGATAATTCGACAAAAAACAAGCAGAAAGTAGAAATAGAGGCTGTCGAAAAGGTTATTTTTAAACGGCCAACCATGAAATTGACTAAACACTTGAGGTCGTTGTACGTTAAAACTCTAGTTAACGGCATCCCAGTGGCAAAAGTACTTGTCGATAATGGAGCAGCTATAAACACCATTCCATCTAGGATGATGAGGAAGTTCGTAAAGACAGAGGGTGACATGATTCCTACAGAAGTCATCCTCACGAGCTTCAATGGAGGAGCAACTTCAGCCAAGGGAGTTATGCCATTGGACATAACTATAGGGACAACTACTAGGACCACTGTTTTCTTTGTAATAGACGGTCCTACTAGTTACAATGTGCTACTAGGAAGAGATTAGATACACGGAAGTCGTTGTATACCCTCATCGCTCCATCAATGCCTGATCTTTTGGAATAACAAAGGCAAAGCAGAGGTGGTACAGGCCGATCATAGGCCTTTTGTCGCAGAAGCAAACTCGGTGGAAAA